AATATGAATTGATGAATAATGTTGTTAAGGATATCTAGAAGAACTCTAAAGATATACCCACTTGTATAATGATGATGATTATTAAGGATATCTAGAAGAACTCTAAGATATACCTCCTTGACCAATTCATATTTCGGGGTTAAAACGTACGTACGGGATCCAGACCGGATATCACCCACCCGACAAATCATTGTTCGGTTGGTACGTAATCCACATGACTCATAGGGTGGATTATCGATTCTTGTGTTCTGCATTAAACTATTTATAGTTTAAGGGCCTGGTTAGAAATATTGCCTTAGACTAGGAATAGTTAAGAGTTGTTATGAAATGATTTGGCTTTAGATTAAGAATAATTTGAGAGCATTGTTGAGACATTGAATATCAAATGACTTGGAATAAAATATTGAGAATAATATGAATGTTTGAATTATATATTGTGTGCATGATATCAAATGGTTGATTATGAATCGAGATTCAATTTATGTGGATGTTCGACGCTTTAGATATGCTTACTCTGCTTCACCGCTGAGCGTGTAGTGTGTTTTATTTGCTACACGCAGGTAGGCAGAATGAATGATTGGCTGATTCCTGGCAACAGAAGGGGCGAGACAGTCGTGGTGGATCATTGAACAAAATAAATAATTATGTTGTTATGAGACATGTTTAAAAGTCGCTTCCGCATTATTATTAAACACTCCGTATTTTCTACAATTATGTATGGAATATTATTTATAAATAAAAATGTTTGAAATGTTTTAAATTATCAAGATTACCAAATCAATACTTTAGTCCGAAAGGGGCTGCAGATCTGGACGGATTAGGGTGTTACAATTTGGTATCGGAGCAAATGGTTTTAAACCCGATCTTCGGATCAAAACTTGGATTAAAAAAATATATTTTACATATTATATATGTATTTCGGCCAAAAAAAAAATGATGTCAATCAAATCCACGACTCTCGCATCCCTCTGTTCCAGGAAGGTAATAACAAAATAAGTATTGAAATCGACTGTATCAAATTTTATAGATGTCAACTGTTAATTCGGAAATGATATCAAGTGTTGATTCAAGTCGCACTTTCGTACTTGGTAAAAGACGAAAGAACAAACGAAATGTCTATGACTCGTTGATACGTTACCAATGTGCACATCGATTCGCAAGAATAATGAAACGAAGGATTTATCTGCGCCGCAAGGCTGCGTGGGAACGAGATGACCCAGAAGAGACGTTCAGCGTAGACTCTGCCAGTAGCGTATGTGGGTCGGGCAAGGAAGACTCGTCTGTAGATTCGGCACGAACCAACCAATGAAACGCAAACGCTTAGAAAATTATCTTATTGTTGGTTTCAAATCCATTGATTGTATCAACTGTTGTAATCCTTTGCAATTCCTGTCTTAAACTCAACTACTGAATAAAAGAATCCTAATAAAGGAATTTCTGTTATTGTAGAATGAGTCAAGAATCTGCCCACGGACAAGGGAACAATAATGAACACGTTAGTGTTCATACTGAAGCATCTAGCTTTACCCCTCCCATCCAAAATGAACCCGTCAATCAGCAAAATGTTGGGAATAACCCGAACGCTGATGGTCAACCCGACCTTGTGATTCCCACATTCCTAGCAAATGTATTACAACAGATAGCCAATGCACCAATGTTTCAACCACCTCCACCACCGCCACCGCGAGTGATAACCTACAAAACATTAAGGGATAACGGTGCAGAATTATTCCTTGGGGATCGCATCGGTGAACCCCAAATTGCATGGGACTGGATCGAGCAGACTGCTCGAGTGTTGGAGGATCTTAATGTACCCATTGGCAACTATCCCCGACTGGCGTCTCAGCTTCTTCGCAAGGAAGCCTACGAGTGGTGGAAGAGGACTGATGAGAGTGCAGGAACCCCTAAGCCATGGACATGGACACATTTCGAATGGGCATTCAAACAAGAATATATTCCAAAACGTTTTAGTGAAGAAAAACGTAAGGAATTTGTCGAATTGCAACAGGGAGACATGACACTCCCCGAGTATCGTCAGAAGTTTACCGGTCTTGCTAAGTTTGCACCAACCTTGGTGAGTACCCCAACGGATCGCATCGAGGAATTCAGGAAGAAACTTCGACCTGACCTTAGGTCGCGTGTGTCCGTCCTAACCACCGTGGATTTCGCGGAGGCCTATGATCTCATAGCCAGGGCAGACAGCGACTTGAGTGTTTGCATTGAGTATCTGAAGACAAATAATGTCAGTTCAAGCACTCACCGTCCCATCAACTCTATCTCAAAAGGAAAAAGGCCCTTCCAGGAATCTAGCAATTCACACTTCTCAAAGAAGGGGAAATCGTTGCAGACGCACTCTGTGGTGTCGGAAAACAAATCAAAAGGGTGGAAACACCCATTTTGCGATACATGTGGGAGACATAATCCAGGCGAGTGTTGGCTTGCCCAAGGATTATGTGTAGGTTGCGGCAAACCTGGACATTTTCGAAGGGATTGCCCCACTAATCCTGGCAAACCATTTCCGACAGCCCCAGTTGTCAGCCAATCAGCATCAGCACGACCTGCGCCAAGTCAACGATCAACGGCAAGATCTAATCCGGCCAAGAACCAGAGTCAGCAACAGGGATGAGCTCCTGCTCGTACTTATGCAATGAAGGCACGAGCTGAGGAAAACCCTGACGTCATTCAGGGTATGTTTTCCTTATTTGATTCTGTCATGCATGTGTTGATAGACCCTGGATCAACGTTGATTGTGGAAGCGGAACGACGCTAAATCACTTAAGACACTTGCATTTATTAAAGGTCTTGGCGATTACTTCGGGAACGACATATGCCTCAGCTTAAGGCTCGACCGGATTGGGTTGATGTTCCAGGAGTACCCCAACAAGAAGGGAATGTTGATTGTGGTTATTATACAATGCGATATTGTTGGCTCATCGTCAATATCTGTGCGAAATGTTCAGTACCATTATTCGAGGTAAGTTTGTTTTAGTGTTTACGAAAGTAGTGAAGTGTAGGGTAATAATTATTGAACTTTATGTCGTATGTTNAACAAATAACCGATTCAAAATCCCCTACCCAAATATGGCGCCATTTCTGGGTAGGGGCATTTGAATCGGTTATTTAGTAATAACCGATGCAAAAAGCCAACTTTCAGAACTGGCGGTAATTTTTTTAAAGGGTTTTTGCATCGGTTTTAGCAACCGATGCAAAACGTATCGGAGTATTTGCATCGCTGGCTTTTGCATCGGTTGGAAACCGATTTAAAAGGGTCCAAATAACCGATTTAAAAAGTCATTTTTGTACTAGTGTGAATATTTTCTTTTTTCAAAAAGTCCACTTCTTTTATACTACAAATGTACTAAGGTCCATATAATAAGCATCAGGGAGAATTTGACTTAACTCCCCTCCATCCAAACAGAACCACTCATTCATATACTCCCTATGATATATTTAAGAAAAATTTACTTAAATAGGACTAAAACATAATAACTTTTCCAATCAAGTTTAATGTGCTTCTAATGTAATATCATTTGAAATTAAAGTATAATCATAATCAAGTTTGCGACAATTAGTGCAAACTCGAGATACAATCTTCAAAAGCAAGTGACAATTATCTCATCATCTGAAAGTATATTCATAGTCAAGT